TAATCACGAGATTACCTACGGCCTCAAACCAAATAAGACAAAACTCATTAGAGTAAATGGGCCAAATCGGAAGCAAATTTAAAACTTTGTCCATAGAGCCGTGCTTATATGTACATCATAACATTCCATACATATGTTAATAACTCACAACAGAAAGTATAGTAACATAAAGCTCTATGCAGACAGGATCATTCAAATCTAAGTCAGCCAAAGCAAAGCTATATACAGATGTACACCAAAGTCCTCGCCAACATAACAAAATAACATAGAATGGCAGAAGGGCGAAGACGTGTCTCGTGCGTGAGACGCAAGGGCTGACTCTTCAAAACCTTAGTTGGTCCATACAGACTTTACCGGGGCTGGGTTTGGACTTCTCTTGGCTCACCTACAAACACATGAATAAGCGTGAGCAAAAGCCCGGTGAACAATATCAAATAAAGAATATACATTGGAACAATATACACCAAACGACCTTGGGCCCAATTTATATTTCTACTAATACATACATACATACATAGACATATGTAAGGTAAGTAACTGCGGTTCCAAACACATCATACGGCCTTGGGCCCAATTCATTAGTGTCAAACTGGCTTTGGCCTTTTCAAACTTCCGTATCAAACTGGCCTTTTGGCCTTTCAAACTTTCATTTATGTCAATCTGGCCTCTGGCCCATTCATGCATGTCAAACTGGCCTCTGGCCCATTCATGCATGTCAAACTTTCATTTCTGTCAAAGCGGCCTTTGGCCCAACCATTCATGTCAATCGGCCTTCGGCCCAATCATTCGTGTCAATCAGCCTTCGGCCTAATCATTTATGTCAATCGACCTTTCACCCAATCATTCATATCAATCGGCCTTTGGCCCAATCATTTATATCTATCGGCCTTTGGCCCAAACGTTTATGTCTGTCGGCCTTCGGCCTAGTCATTCATGTCAATCGTTGTCCACTATTCAGATTAATGAACTTACAAAACTTACATATAAGTAAACAATTGGACAACAGTATATTTCAAATATCTTGTTAAGATATTACTCATAGTGATCGGCTTGTGGATTTGTCTTGGAACTTGACCCTACACATCATATAACACATATGGATCACTAACGATTCAATCCGTTCTTTAATTCGCATATTCCTCTTTAGGCTTCATTCTTATCTCTTTAACTTAATTACAATGCTTAATACATGCCTAAGAGTGTTTGGAAGTGAAAGAGAACAGAAAATGAAACACAAAATGTCTTTTCAAAATTTCAGAAAACAAGGTCCCCACTCGAGCGTGGACTTCCCCACTCGAGCGGACCCATGAGGTCTGCAAAAGTACTGGATATGTCGAATTTACGCTCGAGCGTTTATTCTGGCGCTCGAGCGAAAGGCCTCTCTACATGGCTCCCCGTTCGAGAGTGAACTTCCCCGCTCGAGCGGGAGTCATGTCTGCAAAATATGTTGGGAGCACGAATTTCACGCTCGAGAGGCGATTCTCCCGCTCGAGCGGACATCGAAATTCTGGAAAACCCAGAATTGTTCTTGAGCTCCAATCCATCATTCAAAAGGCTTTAAGCTTGAACCAAGGCACCAAAAATATACAAATACATCATATAACACATGGATGTAAACAATATAAAGCCAATCTTCCAAAATCACGGTCCAATTCTTCGAATTTAATCAACATTCTTTTTTGTATGATCAAAATCCATACATTCAAACTTCATACTAATTTCATAACCCTTTAATCATGCATGCATGTAAACTTTGACTTCATTTTCTATTCCAAATGATGCAATTGGTGCCCATTCTCATGGAACTCAACAAAAACATGCTTGCATGTATGTTTTAACACTCATTTTTCCACATTCAACTTAATACATGCTTGATTATGTAAAATCATGGTGATCTTATACATGCATGTGCATATTAACTCCAAATTTATCAATTATAGCACAACTCTTGCTCTTGATCACCAACTAATCTTTAATTCACAAAATCACAAGTTCAAACTCATGAATTTACTCACCTAGGAGCTCAATCTTCCTAATGTAAGCTTAATTCTTGAGTTACACTCCAAAACCTTCAAGTTTCTTGAGAAATCTCCAAGCCTCAAGATCAAAACCCCAATCTCCTACACTCTCTCCCTCTAAGCCGATCCTCTCTTTTTTTTCTTTGAGTTTATGATCAGTCCAAATGAAGCTAAGGAGAGAAATTGAGTGTATTAAGGCCCCCATTCAACACATTATTTTATTATAAAACAATTGGGCACTTAATTCATTAATTTAATCTAATTAATTTGATCCAAATCAATTTCCAATTAAATTTCACCGTAGGCTCTAAAAATTACGCTAATCACAATGACGCAATCAATTTCGGGTTCTGTGGCCGATAAGGCATTCAATTTAATTCCCAAAGCAAATAAGCAAACAGATATTCCTACGGTGAACAGATAGAAATTCAAAATCACACATTTTCACATAATGGCACACAAAATCATATTAGACATATAATCAAACTCATAATAAGGACCAATTAGCTAATTATGGAACAGGGTTATCACAATCGTGCTCTGATTTCCACTTTCAGGTTTAGGGTTTTGAGAAAAGAAGAAGAAGATGAGGAAAGGAGATTGAAGACAGAGTTGATGTAAAATGAAATGAGACGCTAGAGGTATGGAAATGGAAGGACTGATGGCGGTTGGGTCACGATCTAGGCTTTGATTTGAAGAAGAAGAATAAGAGAAGATGAGGGGGCATATGGGTGGATGGTTATGGAAGCAGTAGTGGATTCAAGTCGCAGTGATGTGATGGTGGTTTGGTGAAGCTGAAACAGAGGGGGTGAAAAAGAAAGAAGAAAAAAAAGAAGAAGGGTCTGAGACGGGTTGCAGATTGGCTATTGGAGGCAATGGTAGTGGTGTCGGAGACGGTGTTTGGGAGTGGGGGCTAGGTTTTGGGTTTGGGTTTGGGGTTTGGTTTAAGGGTATAGTTGATATTAAGGTGGGAGTTTAAAGAGAAAATGTGGAAGGCTACAAATGCATCCTAAGAATTAGGTTGGACATCCCATTACTTTAAACACCCTAATAATAAATTTAAAATTTTATTTATTTATTTGGACACCCAAAATAATACCTATCATATCCCTAAAACCCCTACCAACCTATACAAATCTACTTTGTACACCGTATTACCCATAAACAGAGGAACCAAATTAGAAGAGAATTTTAAGCGATAAAGAGGGCTTATCCGAGATGAAGAGGGATTCCAAGCGACGAAGGTCTCCTCCCACTCTACATCCATCGGCGGTCTCCTCCTACTCTACATCAGACGAAGGTCTCCTCCCATTCTACATCCACCGACGGTTATCGATTTCCGAATGCTCAGTGCAAAATACAAGAAAATCGGTCTTAGTTGTTTTATATGGATTCTCAGTGTCAAATAAAACATATTTGTCCAAATAATTTATTCCAAACATATGAAGTTTGTTCAAATACTCAGTGCTGAACATAAGAAAATCGATTCCAGTTGTTTCATATGGATATTCAATGTCAAACGAAATATATTTATCCGGATACTTAATTCCAAACATATGTAATTTGTTCGGATACTCAGTTCTAAATGAATTCGGAAAACCAAACTACGAAAAAGGATGAACAACAATTAAAAACTAGTTTTCTCTATAGAAAATTATTTGGAAACATCTTTTTTATTGTCCATTGTTGATTTCAAATAGAATGCAAGAATGATGAATTAAAGCAAATGGGGTTGTGTATAAAGATGCAAGGTGATGAAAGTAGGAAGAGAAGAAAGAAAAGGAAATATTGAGGCTGATGATTAATGGGGTGTTCAAAACACTTTATGTACACTGTTTCCATTGTCAAGTCTTTTTTGATCATTTTAAATAGGGATTTAATAGTAATAAAAAAATAATATAATTAAATTAGGATGTCCAACTAATTTTTGAGATACAAAAAGAAGCTCTTAGAAAATAGTGACTACTCATTTTGCTAGGCCAAAGCAAAAATGTAAGTGCTATAGCAGTTCTCTTATTATTTTCTAAACTTTCTATATAGTGGAGGTGATTTATCTCATTGAATGCATTCTTAATAAGTACCCTTAAGATCCAAATGCCGCTCGGCAACGGCATAGTCAGGAAATTAAATTAAAAAAGACACTTATTAATTATAATTATAATTTTTTTTTCATAATCAATAATAAGATGATAATAATAATTTTTGAATTAATATTATATAAAGTATAAAAACTTAAATAAATTATTACAAAAATATTTCATATAAAATTTTATAATTAATTTCGAATAAAATCGAAAAGAAAGTATTGCGTATAACTAGTGTATCATTGATAATGTTAAAAAATCATATATTTAAGTCTTAAAATAAATTATATAATAAAAAGATAAATTAAATTTTTACAAAATTTGAATAAAAATTTCATATAATAATGATATTATATCATCATTGACATATGATATTACAAACTAATAGTAAAACAATATATAAAAAGTGAACTTCACATGTAGATATAACTAATACTCTAGTAATTTTTACATATATATATTGCGATTAATTATATTTGTATATTAATAATGATGGATATTATTTTTATATTGAGATTTTTTCACAAAATTTTTATACATAAAAATATAATTTATTATAGTCACTTCATTTTTAATAAAATAATTACTATTGTTCTCATAAATTTAAAAATGCCATTAATATTTTATTCTAAATATTATTTTTATTTAAAATTTTATTTATAAACATAAAAAAGTAAAAAATAAAATAAAAAATCCAGGGTCACCATGTGGCTCGGCAACTGCCACTGGGTCGTAATTTTCTCTCAAACAAAAGGGACCGTAAAGTTTGTGATGGTGGACCAAAGTCCATTACATTTTGGATCCAGTCTCCGCAATTATCAAACGTGGACCCGACGCTATCACATCCCCATTTCTCAATTAAACAAAAACTTGAAATACCATAAACACCCTTCTTCGTCCACTCTCTGATCTGAATTTCCCTCCTCTCTCTCCTCTCAACGTTCCCATGTGACTCTGGAGAGACTGAAAAAAAGCGACTGAGAAAACGAACAACATACACAGATATATAGAGAGAGAGACTGAGAGAGAGCGAGAGTTACAGAAGAGGCATTCGAAATGCAAGATCCATTGAATTCAAACCCTAATTCTCTCCCCCAAAACGTCCAGAAGCTGTCGACGACGACGACGTCGTTTCACCACCGCCGGGCCCACTCGGAGGTGAACTTCCGGCTGCCGGACGACCTAGATCTCGTCTCCGACCCCTTCGATGGGACTTCTGGAAGTTTCGACGAGATCGGATCGGAGGACGATCTCTTCTGCACTTACATGGACATTGAGAAGCTCGGATCTAGCTCTGCCGACGGTGCTGATTACCGGATCGACAATGCCGGAGTCGGAGGAGTGCCAGCGGAGACCGGTCAAGGGGAGAAGAATGTGAGGCCTCGGCATCGGCATAGTAATTCGGTTGATGGATCGATTCTTCTTGGAGAGAATATAGAGGCTAAGAAGGCAATGGCTCCTGAGAAGCTTGCTGAGTTATGGACAATGGATCCCAAGCGAGCCAAGAGGTATTGTTACGATTTTCCTTGTTTTTAGATTCTTTTTCTCTAGATTTAAGTGAATTGCTGATGATTTTTTTGTTTTCTGAGTTGCATTGTGGGGAATGTGAGTGGATTTGAGGTGTGTGGATCAGAATAACTAACTGAAAAAGAATTGTATATAGTTTCAAACATGTTTTCTTAATTGAAATTTGCGAATCTAGTGCTTGGTCTAGTCAAAACCTTTACCTCTAGTCCACTGATGAAGTTACTCATTTCTTGGTTTAAGTGGGAATTTGATCTATAATAAGTTGATTTCAATTGGATATGGTCTGATTTTGCCAGTTGATATGTAGGGTTAACTTTGTTGTTGTTTTCATTTATATATTTGTTTTCTCTGTTAGTCTTTAGAGTGCAAGTAGATTCATCCAATTGGAGTTGGTGAGAATTGTGGTTGCCCGTATGGGCCAAGCTTGTTGTCACTTCATCTCTATTGCAATGATAATATCATCCAACACATGGCATAAGGGTTCCTCTGTGTCATATAAAGTGAATCAACGCAATTATTCTACAATGATTATAAGAAGTTCGCTGCCATCTGGATGATTTGACTGTCCCCTTCCATCTAGGTAATTTGTGATAAATGCATAATGACCAAATGTTAAAAGGTTGCCTGAATCAAATCACTCAACAATGTTCTGCTACTGAATTTGTTTTGGAAAGAGATTTTTGCCAAGTTCAAAGTGCCTTATTACCTAATTTAATAAGTACATTGAAGTAGGCTTTTATGGAGCAATATAACAGCAGGATTGTTAAGAATAGACTTTTAGGCATAATGGAAAAATGTACTGTACATGTATGTATATAATAAAATCCTTGATTGTATATCTCAACAAGGCCTTATGGGGTAATTGTTGAATTGATTTCTGGGTAGCCACCAAATTAATCAATGCTAGTTTTCTTGTTATCTTCTGTTAGATTGGCTAATCAAACTAGTGTTATTAGTCAATTGGGATCTATAACTGCTGGTCGGTGTATATCATGTCCTATTGCTGGGATGCCATGTGTAATTTGTGCATGCTCTTGACTGGTGAGTATGCAGAGCATCATCCAAAAATAGTAACAGATTTAAAAATTGTGAGGGTGGCTTCACGCAGAGGCCAAAATTTTGGCATTCAAATTTCACACCTATGAAATACATACAGTCCAAAATAGCTGTCTTGGCAATGTCCAACATGTACCGGACACAAAGCACATCGGACATGGCTAGATATGCATGGGATATGGACACAACAAAGATACGGATATGGACACAATGGTTTCTAAAAAAATTGGGATTTGGACAGTGGGAAAATGACAAATATACATATATCTATATATATATGCATGTATGTATGTATCTCCTTAATCATACACTCTCACTGTGTCATATATGTTTTCTAGTGTAGAAGAGTAGATCTTGGTCAGTCAAACCATTGAGTCTTATATCTAATGTCAAATGTGCTTGGAAAGCAAGGAAAAGGAAAAATCACTGTATTCATCATAAGGCTGCTCTCCCGGTTTACTAGACAGGGAATTTGGTGATATTTTTTGAAAGAATTACTAATGATGGAAAGCTTGGGTACAATCTCCCCTTAAGCAAATAAAACACGAAGCGAGCAGGAGCAAGAGCGTCCTTTATGAAAATAGCTCAAAAGCAGGAGTGCCATTAGAATGTATATATAAGGATATATGTAAAAAGTTATTTTTTTATGCACTAAATCACAGTAATCTAATGTCTTTAATACTTGCACTCTAATGTAATACAGAAGCATTAAATAAAAAACTTGGATAATGTGTTGACAAAATTGAATGGTGGTCTGTTGGTTGGTGGTGGCCACTTGATTCCTATGTCATGCCATGTCACAAGTTTGAATCTCATCGTGGCAGATTTTTTTTCTTCTTACAGCCATTAATGCTAGCGTGTAATGCTTGCTGTGATTCAGTGTTCCTTCAGTGTATGAGTACATGTGACATTTAAAGAATTGGTTGAAATTGAATTTGGTAGGCAAATTTTGCAGATTTGACTATAGTTCTCAGATTTGAACCACTTTTGAACCAAATTTGCCTATCCGCAAGTTCATGATCCAGCTTCCATGTTCCACGGATTATGTGACCTAGATCTCCTCGCTGTTGATTTTATTACCCTAATGAGATTTTTGACATTTTGTCTTAATGTCTGCACCAATAATGACAACCTAATAGAGATTATTAATTTTTGTTTATGATACTTGGCTAATCAAACTAGTGTGATTAGTGAATTGGGATAAGTAACTACTAGTCAGTGTATATCATGTCTATTGCTGGGATGCCATGTGTAATTTGTGCATGCTCTTGACTGGTGAGTATGCAGAGCATCATCCAAAATAGGAACAGATTTAAAAATTGTGAGGGTGGCTTCACACACAGGCCAAAATATTGGCATTCAAATTTCACACCTACGAAATACATCGGACATGTAGTCGCTAGATATGCATGGGATATGGACACAAAAAAGATATGGATATGGACACAGTGATTTCTAAAAAATTAGCATTTGGATATAGTGGGAAAATGACGAATATATATGTATGTATCTCCTTAATCATACACTCTCACTGTGTCATACATGTTTCTAGTGTAGAAGAGTAGATCTTGGTCAGTCAAACCATTGAGTCTTATATCTAACTTCAAATGTGCTTGAAAAGCAAGGAAAAGGAAAAATAACTGTATTCATTATAAGGCTGCTCTCCCGGTTTACTAGACAGGGAATTTGATGTTTTGTTTTGAAAGAATTACTGATGATGGAAAGCTTGGGTACAATCTCCCCTGAAGCAAACAAAACGCGGAGCAAGCTGGAGCAAGAGCGTCCTTATGAAAATAGCTCAAGAGCGGGAGTGCCATTAGAACGTATATAAATGTATATATAAAGATATATGTAAAAAATTATTTTTTTGTGCACTAAATCACAGTAATCTAATGTCTTTAATACTTGCACTGTAATATAATACAGAAGCATTAAATAAAAAACTTGGATAATGTGTTGACGAAATCAAATGGTGGTCTGTTGGTTGGTGGTGACCATTTGATTCCTGTGTCTTGTCACAAGTTTTAATCTCATTGTGGTAGATTTTTTTTCTTCTTACAGCCATTCATGCTAGCGTGTAATGCTTGCTGTGTTTCAGTGTGTTTCTTCAGTTTATGAGTACATGTGACATTTAAGAATTGGTTGAAATTGAATTTGGTACACAATTTGCAGATTTGACTGTAGTTCGCAGATTTGACCCACTTTTGAACCAAATTTGCCTATCTGCACGTTGGATCATGATCCAGCTGCCATGTTCCACGGATTAGGTGACCTAGATCTCCTCTCCGTTGATTTTATTGCCTTAATGAGACTTTTGACATTTTGTATTAATATCTGCACCAATAGTTAATGACAAACAAATAGAGATTATTAATTTGTGTTCGTGATACTTAGCTACTTAGGTATTCTAGACTATCTTGCTGTAATTTTGTCAAGTAATGATCTTTTGAACTTGGCCAATCAGCATGTGTAAAGCTACTTCTATTCTATTGAAGTGTGAACTCTTGTCTTGAGTTTTAATGTCATCTATGCAACCTTCTATTGGTTGCCAGATCAATCGCCTGACCAAATTTTCTTTTTGTGCATATTTAAAAGAAATTAAGTATACAATTATGTCTTTTTCGCATGGTTGGGGCTGGACGAGAAGAAATTCTCGTTCCAGTTCTTTGGCAGTGATTTTCTCTTTAATCAATTCAAATAATTTGAAGAACCTTCTTGTGTCTCACACTGAAGAATGTATGCAGAATTCTGGCAAATCGGCAATCTGCCGCTCGTTCAAAAGAGAGGAAAGCTCGGTATATAACTGAGCTTGAGAGAAAAGTTCTGACCCTTCAAACAGAAGCAACCACCCTTTCTGCACAACTCACACTGTTCCAGGTGATTGTTGCCTGCTAGTGGCTCTCTTTATCGGATTTTAGTTATATGTTATTGTTTACCATGTTTCACAGAATTGTGCTGGCCATTATTGGTTTTACTTCATGGTATTAATATCTCCCTAGTTTTTAATTTCTTTCATCACGCCAACAATGGTAGATCTTCCTATTTTAGATAATGAAATATGATATTTCATTCTGATAACCTGTTTTAGCTGCTTGATTAGGTGGCTCTCCCCTAGGTTACTGGGGGAAAAAAAGTCATGCTTTCTACTCATGCTAAGTCTTGATATGCATGCAATTACGTTTCCTATGAAGCACTTGAGAATTTGTTCATGACTTGATGCAGGACTAGTAGGGACTGCACCAAAGTTGGGCTTTTGGGGCTGATTTTAATTGGGTTTTATGGCTGAAATTGCAATAACATAATAGGAGTTTTAAAGGTTTGTATTGGGTAATAAAGGGGGTAATGGTTTAAGCATGAAAATATAGGATTTTTGGCACTGCTTAGGGGCTGTTCTAAGGGCTGTGATTCTGTGAACAGTACTCGAGAAGAGTAATTTGCAAATTTTGCAGAAAAAATAAAGAGAATAAACCTAGGAATCCCTTAGGCATCATACTTAGGATCTGATTGTATTGTAAAAACCATAAAAGAAGCTTCGAAGCTCTGAATGAACTCTATTAAATTATAAGTATTAGATGACTTTATATTTATATAGACTTTAGAGGCGCTGTTTTTTACCAACTAGGGATTTCAACATAGGAAACTACTAAAATTGACTTCCAAAACCAATATTAGACCAAATAAAACCGATAAATGAAAACCTATTAAACAATTTGACCCACAAGACGACCCACAAGACGACCCATGGGGAATAAGCACAGGCTATATTCAATAATCTTGAAATTACCCAAAACACCCCTAATTGTAAAATCTGACCAGCTGCTTTCTTAACCTAAAATAAACATAAGACACATAATTATAGATGTTCCAATTGATCCCAATTGGGTTAAGCTCCAAATAAATTAATTTCCAATCATGAATGCTTCCTTAATTTTGGTTTTCCTTGCGCCTATCGTGAGCTGAATCACAACTGTTTCTAAAGATGTGGAACATTATTAATTCCTCATTTCTTCCACGCTCACCTTTTTTTTTTTCTGTTGTTGATTCTGGAAATCGATTGCCTTGTGTTTTTTGGACTCTCACTTTTTGTTCTTTGGAACTAAGATGATCTAGTAGTTACTAAATCTTTTAAATGTTGCTCTTATTCAAAATATTCCCGAGTTAGGCTATTTGATAGTCATTTAACTCAGGCAATCAAAGTTCTTTTAAAACTTTAACTAGTTGAATTCTCTCTCTCTCTCTCTCTCTCTCTCTCTCTCTTATTTTAATATTAGTACTTGCTCTGCTCCCAAATAGAAAAGTATTGTTGAATAATTTGATGATGGTGATATGAAGAAAAAATGTGAATGATTTGTTAACAAGATGATATGAACTGATTAATGCCCAATCAAGGCTTCACACCCTTGACCATACCCTTTTTCCCACTCCTTTTCCTCTCTTTCCCGCAGTTTTGAGCATTTCATCTCTCCCTTGATTTCAGTACATTTGAACTTAATTATCAATCTTTTAATCTAGGTTTTGTGATATTGCTATATAAACTTTATATCTTTTTGTAGGTTCTGGTGCTATTAAATTTTCATTTAACTAAGATTTCGTGTCTCTTTCCTTGAATTCCTTCGTCACATATTGCTTTTATACTTTTATATACTGCAGCATAAAAGCTCATGGCCTTTTTGTTTTCTTTTATAGAGAGATACAACAGGTCTATCCAATGAAAATACGGAGCTTAAGCTTCGGTTACAAGCTATGGAACAACAAGCTCAGTTACGTGATGGTAAGTTTCACCTTTCAAGCAAACTTGGTTTTAAAATTTTTTCTCATTGTGTTTTGAATATAGCCTTTGGGTTCTATACATATTTCCATAAAATACTTAACAAACATGTCAATAGACATGCATAATTTTGGTTTGACATCTCTACTTGTTTATGCCGGAGCAGTACTTTATTTGCTCTATGGAGTGTTCTAGAGCTAATAGTCAACATAGTAGATTATTTCTATCTTATTATCTTAATTGATGTTTCTGCCAAAGGTGCACTGGAAGTATGGAATTAAAAAGGATAATAAATTATGTCCTTCTTGAGTACGTACTGTGATTTGGTACAAATCTTGGTTCCTGAATATCTTCATATTATAGCTGTGGTATGTCAACATCAGTTTGGCATAGTCGTTGGCTATGAAGCACATATATTTCTAAAAGGAAGTCTTATGGGTTAGTAGCTTACCCATATGGAATTTCCAATACTTCTCGGATACTTGCGGATACCTATTCGATACTTCATTTTTGTATTCAATACTTGATGTTAATTTCAAGAAGGGTTGGATACTTTCAGATACTAGATGACTCTGTGTGGAGTCGAACTCAATTGGATCAATTAGAACCATCTATAATTGTATTTTTAGTCTTGGTAGTTATATTTATGTTTATTTTAGGTTAAGAAAGTTGTTGGTAAGTTTTTCTAATTAGGGGTGTTTTGAAGAATTTTTGGATATGGGTTGTGCTCCCATGGGTCATCTTGTGGGTTTAATAACTTAATTAGTTTTTATTTAGAGTAAACTGGTGATAAATCCAATCTAAGGAATGCATAATGCATTAGGTCTAGTGAATATTTTTTGTTGGTGAGAAGTCCATCATTTGTAAAATAGTTTGGTGAGAAGTCCTTTTTCTTTTTGAAAGATCATTTTGTTTCCAATTCTATCCCGTAATTTATCTGATGACTTTTCATTACTCTCTATTCAAATTTATATCTATCTGTTCAATTTTTTTTTTTCTATTTGTTCAATTTTTTTGACTATTTGTTTAATTTTTTCCTATTATTTGTTAAAATATATATCTAAATTTTATTATATGTTCAATTTTTTCACTTATTTGTTTAAATCTATTTGTCCAAATTTTCTTGTCTGTTCAATTTTTCCACTGAATTCTATTTGTTAATTTTTTGTTTGTTCAAATCTTTGTTAAAATTCTTGTTCTAATTTTTTCTATCTATTAAAATTCTAAAACTATCTGTTGAAATTATTGTGCTATTTTTTCCTATCTGTTTGAAATTCTAGTTCTAATTTTCCTACTTGTTGAAATTTAACAGAAAGATTTAAATTCAAAACATACAGATCTTATCTATTTTTTCTACCTGCTCATCATCAACAACAGTCACATATACATCTATGTCATCATCATCAGCAACAACGATCAACAACTTAAAAAAAATAAATAAATTTAGGTTAAGAAAGTTGTTGGTAAGTTTTTCTAATTAGGGGTGTTTTGAAGAATTTTTGGATATGGGTTGTGCTCCCATGGGTCATCTTGTGGGTTTTATAACTTAATTAGTTTTTATTTAAAGTAAATTGGTGATAAATCCAATCTAAGGAATGCATAATGCATTAGGTCTAGTGAATATTTTTTGTTGGTGAGAAGTCCATCAATTGTAAAATAGTTTGGTGAGAAGTCTTTTTTCTTTTTGAAAGAACATTTTGTTTCCAATTCTATCCCGTAATTTATCTGATGACTTTTCATTGACTCTCTATTCAAATTTATATCTATCTGTTCAATTTTTTTTTCTATCTGTTTAATTTTTTTGACTATTTGTTTAATTTTTTCCTATTATCTGTTAAAATATATATCTAAATTTTATTATCTGTTCAATTTTTTCACTTATCTGTTTAAATCTATCTGTCCAAATTTTCTTGTCTGTTCAATTTTTCCACTGAATTCTATTTGTTAATTTTTTGTCTGTTCAAATCTTTGTTAAAATTCTTGTTCTAATTTTTTCTATCTATTAAAATTCTAAAACTATCTGTTGAAATTATTGTCCTATTTTTTCCTATCTGTTTAAAATTTTAGTTCTAATTTTCCTACTTGTTGAAATTTAACAGAAAGATTTAAATTCAAAACATACAGATCTTATCTGTTTTTTCTACCTGCTCATCATCAACAACAATCACATATACATCTATATCATTATCATCAGCAACAACGATCAACAACTTAAAAAAAATAAATAAAGATCTGATCTGAATCTCCACAGATCCAGAGCTAACCCAAAGAAAAATCAATATCATTACAGCCTCTTATATGTTTATCTCTATCTTTCTTTATATGTATAAATATATATATCAGTAGCAACATGAAACAAAACACACAAATTTGAGGAGGGAGTGCCAGAGTGGAGCTGGGATGACTCGGTAAGTTTCGGCGAGTCGGAGCTCGGTGGCGTTGAGTGAGGTCGGCAGAGAGGCGGAGGCGGATCAAGAGGAGGATGATTTGAGGATGGTGTTGAGGATGAGTATGCAACATGAGTTGTCAAAGTTGAGGAGGAGCAAGCCAAGGGAGAACGTTGTCGGAGGCGGAGGTCTATGGAGTAGATATGGAGATCTCGATGTTGTGGTGGTGGAGATAGGCTTCTATCTCTTCCTTTTCCCTCATCGGCGGCGGCGGCGGCGGCGGCGGCGGAGGAGACGACGTAGATCTTGACAGAGACGATGGATATGGCTTATATGGCGGTGGATTTGGATGGAAGTTAGGAGGACGGCGGAGCTGGAGCTTAGAAGGAAGACGAAGATCTCACGCTGGCCTTGGTGAGGCGACAGAAGTAACGGAGCTCTAACGATGGAGGGACGACAGTGACGGAGAGTAGAGAGAGAGGAGTAGAGCAGAGAGAGAGAGAGGGAGTTAGGTGTCGGAGAAAAGATAGAGAGAGAAGAGAGGGAGTGTGTTATTGTGTGATGGTATTGGGAATTTGGGACCGTGTATAACAATATATATATACAGGGATATTTTGGTCATTTTGTTTAAACTTGTTTTTTTGGACAAAGTATTTCACCGCCTAGACTTTTAGCCAAACAAAATTGAGATTTAGATTTATGGACCGAGTGTCCTTTTATTTATTAGTTTTATTTGGTCTTAGATAAGTTTTGGAAGTCAAAATTTAGTAATTTTCTATTTTGAAATTTTAATTGGTAAAGGAAATCTCTAAAGTTTATATAATGTTATATAATGCTTATAATTTAATGGAGTTAATATTTTATAAAACTTTCAGAGCTTTTAAGTCTTCTTTCGGTTTGTGTGATACAATCCTGACCCTAGTTGTGATGCCCAATGGATTCTAGGATGATTATTAGTTTTTTTTTTTTTTCCTTCTGTAGAATCTACAAATTTATTGTTCTTGGGTACTGTTCACGACCCTCAGAATAGTCCCTAAACAGTGCCGAAAATCTTATCTTTTCATGCATGAACTCTTACCCCTTTATTACCCCAAACAAACCCTTAAAACCCCTATAAACTTGCTGCAATTTTAGCCATAAAATCCAATTGAAATCAGCCCTAAAAGGCTTACTTTTGCTGCTGTCACTGGTACTGTTCACAGCCCTTAGAATAGTCCCTAAACAGTGCAAGAAATCATTTTCATGTTTAAACTCTTGCCCCTTTATTACCCGTCACAAACCCTTACTGCAATTTCAGCTCTAAAACCCAATTAAAATCAGCTCTCAAAAGTCTACTTTTGTTGCTGTCCCTACTCGTCTGCATGAAGTATTCTACTTTAACGTATTCACTGTAAAAAAGTATAAACTGACGATTGGCTCTTAAACTAATATTAAATTTCTATCTTTCAATGCTTAAACTCTTACTGCTTTATTACTTACTCTTACTGCAAGTTCAGCCATAAAACCATTCAAATAATCCCCAAAAAGCTCACTTCTGCTGTTGTCCCGACTCGTCCTGCATCAAGTATTCTGTGTTTTTTTTTTAATTTTTAGATTTTATGAAATTAACATATTCACTTAAAAAGAAGAAACTGACAATTGGCTTTTAAACTAATAACTAATTCCTAAAGAATGGTTTTCAATATTCTTTGAACTCATGTATGATATAATACTAAAAATTATATATATATATAACTTCAAATTGACCTTACCCATATCCTATTTTTTTAGATTTTATTGTATTGTCTTATCCATATCCTTATCGTATTTGTATTTGTATCGATGCTTCATAGGCCATTGGTATGCCACTACGAAAACATATATAATGGACCATACTGAAAATGTCTAGGTGAATTGAAAAGGTTAATTAACCAGATGGGTATAGAAACTATGGAACAAGCCCTTGGCAATCTCCTCCCTACAGATCTCCTCCCTACAGATTTTTAGCCATCTATTTGTGCTTTCTTTTGCATGTCATTTCCAACATTCACCATGTGATGTTATGAATGAGATATTTATGAAAATATTTGTGCAACACAGCGCTGAATGAAGCACTAAAACATGAAGTGGAAAGGCTCAAAATTGCCACCGGAGAAATGACATCCCAAACAGATTCATACAATTATGGAATGCAACATCTTCCATATCCTCAATCTTCATTCTATTCACAGCAATCGCAACAAGGACCAAACGACCTGCAACAGATACAAATGCGGCAATTCCGTCATGTCCAATCTAACATGCTAAACCACCAGCACCCTATGTTTTCTGAGATGTTGCAGCAGGACTCCCTCGGTCGTTTGCAGGGCCTTGATATCAATGGCAGAGGGTCTCATCTTGTGAAGTCCGAAGGTCCTTCCATATCTGCAAGTGAAAGCAACAGTTCATTTTGATATTGGTATGAGCATGACCCCACACCCCACCCTCTGTTAAATTGTTCATAGACTGACAAATCTTCTTTAGCATCTGAAATTATCATTTCTTCAAATTTATTTATTTATTTATTTGATTGTGATCTTAGGCCTACTTTCAGTAGTTTTGACGGTTCTGTGATATTCCTGATTTCTCTTTTCTGTTCATTTCGGAAACTATTTTCTGTGATGTTGGGTGGAGGGTTGCATCTTTCATGCAATGCTTATTTTTCACTGTTAAATTTGTTTCATATTATTTAACCCTTGTTTCGTAGTTAATCATGGAGAAGGGGGAATTCTTCTGTTGATTTTGTAATTCAATTGATGAACTGAGACTTCTGTTTTATATGATGATAGATTAATTAATGTTAAAATCACTTCTTTTAATTGGTGGATGTACTTTATCTCTATTCCTGCTTTTTTGTTTGTGATTGTGAAATTTTGTATTATAATTTGAAATCTGTTCTGTATTACATTATTGTAATTTGAAATCATGTTATGGATTCTTCTTTTAGCTACAAAGATGCTACTAAAATATATATTTACTTGTTTTTCTAACCACCTAGAGTAGGTTACTCTAATTTTTTTTACAATCCAACCTCAAATCCCTTGATTTGAAATCTATATCTATCTAAAGGGAGCCCAAGGGTCATGGATTATTGTGGTTGTCGGTCTAACATATTGTTAAATAGAAGTTGGTTAGTCCCATAATCCAATTATGGGGTGTGGTTATGGCACATATTAGTGTTGATTACGACCTATTTTAGTAGATATTGTTATGATTAAAATAGTCTTTAGTTATGCTTCGAAGAAGTGGTGTTATTTATGAAATATAACTATAATTAATGGTTTGGGTTTATTTTTTCAGACCTAACGGCTGATATGTATTTTGTTTATTAAAGGGTGTGTGTAGTAAAATTTCTCATAGAGTTAACATCAAATTAGCTGCTCCTTTTGTGGAGTTGATTTGTAGCTAGCATGTTGCTATCCATAGTACAGAGGAGGTGGACTCTTAACACGATCTGGCGTTGCATACTTTGTGTGTACTTTCCAAGAATGGATCCACATCCTTGAAAGATGGAGAAATTATATACTAACAGAAAAATGTATAAATACTGAATGAATGAGTTCAAACTAAACCCAAAATTGTGAATTTATCCAATTAAATCTATTTAAATCTCGTTCAAATTCATAAATAAGTTTTGGGCCTTTTTTTTCTGAAAGTCCTATTCTTAGGTGTTATGTTTCATTTAATTCATCTTTTTTAATATTCTATCAAGTCATGTTTAGAGTAATACAATTAAAACTCTTCCAAATTTTTGTGCGTGCTTTTATTTTGAAACCAATACATAATAAAAAAATAATAATAGTTCTTTATTTCATAGAGAAAATCTCTTCCCCATTTCAATGAGAAAAATCTCTTCCTTATTGCATGGAAAAAATTTCTCGCATTTTCAAAACTTTAAATCGTCTACCTTCTATCTATCTCTCAAATAAGGCTTCGTTTGGCAAGTGTCCCTTTTAGCTAAAAAGTCAAAAAGTTACTAAAAAAATCGAAAAGTCAACAACTTATACAAAAAAGTCAAAGATTTTATTTTCTCTACTTTTTGCACATCTTTTCGTAAAAAGTCAAAAAGTTATTTCAAACATACTAATTTTTTTTACATCACATTTGAGCCAAATAGCAAAAAAATTGCTAAAAAAACTTGTTCCCAAACGAGACCTAAATATTAATGTAAACTTTTACATTACAAATGCATGCTGGTAAATAACATCTCCTCATGAACAATACACTCACTCAATGTTACGTGAATGTGTGAAGATTAATATTGGGTGCAACTATCTATTCATATTACAGAATTAATGTGAACATTTACATCTCTATGTATAGACTATGCTTGTGACCATTCAAATTGTTGGTAGTTGCTTGTTATTATATACACATAACTATTGACCTAGTGTGCATTGTGGTAAATGCAATATTGATGTAAGCATTCACATCTCTATGTTGTATTGTTAAGATGCATAATATGCAGCGATTAAAATAACACACTGTTTGCGTTTGCATAACTATTCTTGAATGTGAATATTAACATTGATTAATGATGTGATGATCGCAACACCAATTACAACGCATTAAAATTTGATAATTCACAACAATAATGATTTCAGTGGATTTGAATGTTCATATTCAGTGATTTAACCAATAAGCATACACACACTGATACATAATACCATATCAATTTATCTCAAAATAAAAAGTCGAATCCAACTTTAATTAATTATTGATCAATTCTGAACGTACATTCCTACAAAACATTATTGAATATGAATTCCTATCAAATGCATACCTACATGTACATGCATAACAAAAATAGTAGTAACCTTGCCTTACGATTTCTGAATGAAAGAAACAGAATTTCGAATTGTAACAATGGAAGAACACAAAGCTTCGAATTGCAATAATAGAAGAACACAGAGTTTCAAACCATAACAATGGAAGAATACAATATTCTCTCACCTCCAACGTGTAAAACAAAGTTTCAAAACCCTACTAAAACATATAAGAAACATATCCCACTAATTTCTCTAGAATCAGTGATCACCAAAATTGTCAAAATAGAAAAAGGAAACGTGAAGATTACAATTGTGTGTAATACATACTATAAAAAATAAAATAAAGGGTATATTAGTCCCCAAAATATTATAAATAAGGAAAAAAAGACCTCTAAGATACAAGTCTAAATATATGGGATTAGATAGAGCACAAAATTTTTATGAACTTATTAGATTATAATTCCTCTAAATGAGATTTATAAATAAATCTCTCATAAGTTTAAATGGGTTGCATTTTGTAAATTCAATTAACCTTGAATTTAAATGAGCTAGACATGATACTTGTTAACATGGGTAGCACCTCTGCCTCTGCCTCCATTACATCACCTTTGCGGCACTCTTCCACCACCGGGTATCGAGTTACTATTGTGCCTTTGACATATCGGTAACTATTGTGCCTTAATGTAAGATTCATTACTAGTTTATTTTTATGATTTGAATTATTTATTTTGTAAAATTTATTGAATATTTTATGCATATCAAAAATTATATTGATCGGATATCGATAGTCACGTGATCGGATTACATATTTTTTATATTATTTTTCAAAAGAAAAATAGATTGTTTATTTTTTAGGATAATTGTATTTATAATTTTTTTTTTTATGATAAATGTAATTCGATTTCTTGGTTACTGATATATGATCAATATGATTTTTAACATGCATGAAGTACTCGACAAGTCCTACAAAATGAACGATTCAGATTATAAATATAAGTTCATAATTAACCTCACATTGAGGTACCACAGATACTGTTGTGCCCTTGGCACAGTAGTAATCCCTCTTTTTCTCCCCCATTTACCACTACCTCCATCATCATCTACTGGATATAGGTTGGTTAGCTTCATTTATTTAATCTGTTTCAATTTAACTCCACTCACTTAAACTCATTTATTAAATAAGTGTATTTAAATTAAATTATTTTTAAATATGTAATCCGTTTTGGATTGAGTTGTCTCAATTGATTGTCTCTTTCATTAAAATATATTATAGGGTTGTACACGTATTGCATGTGTAATTCAAAAAAATATAATAGTATAAGAATAATAACAAAAAATATATGACATATATTATTAAATTGTAATAACTTACTTTGTCAAATCAATGACCTTGATATGAAGGCTTATCCCGTTCTTTTTTATATAAATATCAATAATAAGAATATTTTGAGTTCATAAATACTATTTTAAGTGAGATCTAAAACAGTGGTGCCCAATAGAAGAAGTTATCATATAACAAGATAATATTTAGAGGATTTAGTCAAAACTTTCTCATAATAAAATTTTAATATATTAAGAACAAGTATAAAAAGTCTAACAAATATCACTATTATCAAAATATTAAACTTTAAAATAATATTACTTTTGATGTAAATGTTAGTTTTTAATAAAATTAACATTTTTAAAATTCTCTTATCAAGATCTATTAAATAAGATTCATATTAATTATGAAATTCTTTATAATAAAAAAAATATTACCATTGAAATTGATGTAAATAGTAATAATAACATGTTATTCTATTTGACAGTAATATGCTACTCTGTCTCACAGTAATATGTTATTCTATTTGATAATTACTCTATTTCACAGTAATATATTACTCTGTTTGACAGTAACATGTTACTCTAGAAATATTGACCAAGAAAGAAAAAAAAATATATTTTTCATTGTCCTTACTCAATTATGTGTTTTCTCCTTAAGGGGTTTATAAAGAAAAATATTACCATTTTCATCCAATAAGAATCCAATGGAAAAGTTTTGATTAAATTTTCCTATTTATCCACATTATATTTTCCTATTTATCCACTTCTCAAAATTAGATCAAAATGGAACTCGCATGGAAAGTGGATTCTGTGGGCTACTTCTCAAAATTAGATCAAAATGTAACTCTCATGTAAAGTGGATTCTGTGGGCTTCTTCTCAAAATTAGATCAAAATGGAACTCGCATGGAAAGTGGATTCTGTGGGCTTCTTCTCAAAATTAGATCAAAATGTAACCCTCATGTAAAGTGGATTCTGTGGGCTTCAAATGCAAAACAATGGACAGCTCCTCTCAAAACAGTGGATCAATGACACAAATAAATTCAGTGTTTGAAAATCATGGTTCTAATTGTTAGGGAATTAAAGAGTTTATAAGCGCACAACCATATTAAGCCTTAACATATATTATTTAAAATTCATACTCACTTAACGATTTAAATCTATAAGTAGAGAGTTCATCTAATATATATTAAGATTCATTTCTTTTGCTTTTTATCTCATTTGAGATTTTACCTTCACACATGTTCCAACAATCTCCCCCTCATGTGTGAACCAAACATTAGGCCTCTCCATCCTCCCTCTCAAGTCTGATCTATCATTGGCAAATTCATCATAGATTATATGTACTCCCCCTTAATCTTGATTTATAACTCTCCAACATCGAGTACAACGTAGGTCACCCGCACACACTCCATCGTGAGCTACAACATTCTATTGAGAGTCACCTTGTCGCAGTCCAATCTTGCCACGTGCATCAAGATTTTTTTTTTGTTCCATCAAGAGTCATCATGGATTTTTCTTGCTCCATCGAGAGTCTTTGTGCAAGCCCAAGTCCACTAATATCGATGCCCCAAAAGAGTCTGTCCATAGATCGTCTGCCATTGGCTTTGATGCCAGTTGTTAGGGAATTAGAGAGCTCATAAATGCACAACAACCATATCAAGGCCCAACATATATTATTTAGAACTCATACTCACTTAAAAACTTAAGCCTATAAGTGAAAAGCCTA